CTTTCCCTCTATTTCTCTTTCTCTCGTTCTTTCTTTATCTCTCTTTTGCTATTTTTCTCTCCCTCTCTCTGACGTTCCTTCTCAATCTCTCTTTTCCTTCTTTTCCCTCTCTCCTTCTCCCTGGCTCTCCCTTCTTTCCTCTCCATCTTCCTCCGCTTCACGTCTTCGCCTCACTCGTTCCTCTCGAACAGTGAATCTCGCCGACGATCGACGAGATGTTTCCACGTACGAATTCTTTTCGAACGAGATCGCAGATAGTTTGCTCTTTGAGAGAGTGATTGCTTCTGATGGAGCGTGTATCTCTCTCTCTCTCTCTGTACATATACACGTTCGAATTTCTGGAATTGGAGTTTCTCTGTTTACACTCTCGTTTCTTTCACGCCTCGGTTCTCCAGTTCGAGGTTTCGGGGTGAAATTGATCCGTTAATGTCGACGGCGGTAAATTGGTTTCTGTATCGCGTGGATCGACCGTAGCCCCACCGTTTCAAACACCGTCATTCTGCCTATTACAGACGAAAATGAACTCGCTAATGATACGATCGCATAATATCCTCCGAGCGAGATAAAGTTATCGGTAACGAAGCCGAGCCAGATACCGCGGGGATCGATGTTTGATCTGCATCCGCCAGGACAGTTTGGCCGTACTCGTTCGACCCTGTCGCACGTTGCTCCGACGCCGTTGACGAGGGACGACATTTACCGTAGCGCTGTAATTTCCACATGTTGTTCCATCGAATTCGAGCTGCCCTGATTGACTTATGATTTCGCCGCGAGAGTTTGCGCTTCTCATTAGAGCGCGAAACGCGCTAGGTATGTATGTGGCTGTTGAGTATCTTGGTGAGAGCAACTGAATTCTCCCTCGTGCAATTTCCAATTAGTTCTCGAGAGTACGATTACGTGGAAAATTTGATTGGAATCATTCGAGCCTTTTTCTCGTTTTGTACCTACTGTTCGGGATAATTGAGTTTAGGCCAGGCCTACGATACGAACGTGACTCTCTGCTATTTTTAAGAACAGGGGTTGAATACGCGTTTAACACTAGGTTTACGGGGACGAGTCATTTTGACGCATTTCGAATTTCACAAGGAATATTACAGAAACTGTTTACATTTCTCTCCTACCACTGATGCTTATTATAGTGTATAATATTGTAGGAACCAACGGGAATCGAACCCGGGTCCGTCGGTTTAGCAAGCCGAGGCTTTGCGCGCTACGCCAACCATTATTATTAACTTTACTATTGACTTAAATGTAGTACATATTGTAATTATTTATATTATATACAATATTTATCTTATGTAAGGTAACGAAAGCAGAGATCACAAAGGAACAATTGCTGAGAGGAGACGGGGCAGGCTTGGAGTACATGAGAGTAATAAGTGAAAAAAGAGAGAGGAAGGAGAAAGAGACTGGAACCTAATTCAGAGTCAAATCCAAAGATATTTCCATAAATTACGCGCTGTTATTTGAAGGCATAGTGCAATAATCCGCATTATAATTGAATTTAATTTAATTTAAGTCTAAATCTAAGTTAACCGGAATAAAAACAAAAATGAAGATGTGAGTAGTGTAAGAGACAAATTAGCAATACATGTATAACCGGAAGCCCTCCTAAGCCGTAAGGCACGGAGTATGTGTAATAAATAATAATAATAAATACAATATTTATCTTAGGTCTAGTGGCGCGCTGCCTGCCCGGAGGCATCTGGTGCTATGCGGGGGGTTTGTCTGTGCTTTTCAGGGCATGATGTCCTTTTGTTAGTTTGCAGTGTGTGGGAGGGGAAAATTCACTATGTAAAAACTCAGTAGTTTGAGGGTTGAAGAGGTGTCACTTAGTTCGGGGGAGGGGGGTTGTTAGTTGGTAGTTAGTGGGGGCTTATTTTAGGTTAGTGGGGTTACGCCAACCACTCCCTTTCTATTCTCCCGTGTCGGTTTCCTATTTTTGGGTGGCCCCGATACTACAATATGCTGTTTTTTAAAGAAAATCTGCGGTTTCATTCACGCGTCAAGGTGACGCAGGTATATAAGAAATGTCCGTAAACCTAATGTTAATTTTTCGTTCGTTAATTTTTCCTCAATTTTTGGAGGGCTCCAAGAACCTTTAATAAAAGCGAGAATTTGGAGTTTCTTCGTGCATATCAATAGCAATAAATAATTCTAGACGACGTGTAAAAGTTAAACAGATGTTGTTTTAATTAATTCCAGTGTTCGAAAATTTTAATTTGTTATTTCTTGTGTGAAATATTTTAGGAATGACGGAATTTTTTGAAGGTGTTAAAAATGTCTGGACAACAGCAATAGAAGTGTAAAGGAAAAATGTTTAGAATTTCAGACAGACAATGTGTAAGTGAAATTAAGGTGTAAATGAGTGCTGCACGGTGACACAGGGTTTTAGGTTGAAAAGGCGAGACGTTTTTTTAGGAATTCTGTGCATAGAGTGAAAGGGATAAAGAAGTTAACAGTCGTGAGTTAGAGTCGTAGTTTTTAGAGACAGAGTTTGAAAGAGTTTTCAGCCAGAGTTTGTCAGAGTTCTATGGAGAATTTAATTAATAGTTGTTATAGCGTATTCAAACATTTACATTTTTACTAAATATATACAGTCTCTTAAATTAATGAATATTTCGTTTTCTCTTAAATTTATTTGCAGCCTAAAATTCCTGTTAACACCCGAATATTTAATTGCGAGATATAACAGAAAGTTCGACGTTGCAAATTCCATCCTCTAAAATTCGTGATTTTACCGTAATAACGAGAAGAGACGTTCGAGTAATTTACGTTGCCTGGAGCTTTTTTTAATTGTAACACGAGGTAAAATAGGTCACTTACCAGTGTTGTTCACCGGATCTCCGCCTTTTACGGGCCAGCCAACGGACACGTTCGTCTTCGAGGAGAAACTGAAGTACGCGAGGAATTGGGATCTCGTTGTGTTCTCGTTTATCCTGGAACAAACACGGATACGTACACTCAGAGTTGGCCCTCGTACACGAGATACACGGCGTTTCACGCGTCGAAACAATAAAAGAAACCTGCCGCGATAAATATTATGAGTGGCGTTATTGCGTGACCCACGCAGCCCGGGATTATATTTACGAGGGATTCTCACGGCACACGCTGTGGAAATTTACAAGTGGCCGCGAAAGAGTCGCCCAATTTTTTATCAATTCCCGCGCGTTGGTTATGAACGAGCGGCACTTATTTCGTGAAATATGAATTTCTTTTTTTTAGAACAAGTTGTTGTGCTTGAAATATAGGAGAGACTGTGGTAAATATCCGCGCGGTGAGGCAAAGAATATTTGTTTATTTATTTATTCGGCGAATGGATGGTAAAGATGATTTGAAAATGCGACAGAAATTTTGTGAAAAATTTAAGAAAAATGTGTATCACTTCAGAAGGAAAGGTTAAGAAGAAACTTGTATAAAAGTCGAAATAGGAAAATTCAATTTTAGAATGATTTTAGAGCTATTTGTTCTATTTGCCGCTGGAAGCGTCTAGCGGTACTACTTGTCTGACTGAGATGTCGTCTAGACTTATACTACTGCGAGACTGTAAACATTCCAGAATCACGATTTTTTTTCTAAATTCGTAAATCTGTTTATTCTTATTATAGTTTGTATATTAAATTTCTTCATGCAATGTAGTTTATGTGAAAATACTCGAATTTTCTTTTTATAATCTGATATTCGCTAAGTTGTATCTTTACGAATTTTTTGGATCGGAACTTTTATTTTAAATTGTTCGGGGAAATGACGCAATATGTAATGACTAGACTGCGTATTTTCATGCATTTATAGAATATTTAAACGTGCAAAATTGCACAGAATGCGCGCAAAATGAAAAATATCCAAATTATGGTGCTTTTTATAATACCTGGAAGGTGAAATAATTTTCAACCAAAGTTTAATTTTTTTTAATTATATTCCCAGAAATATAGATTTGCATTAAAATCCGCAGTTTAATAATGACATAATAATCAGTAGACTGCGGATTGTTATGCATTTCTGGAAAATTTGATATCACAAAAACAGCCAGAATGCGCATAACAAGCAAAAATAACAAACAAACCCAAAATACAGTACTCGTTATAATATTTAAAAATAAAACAATTACCTATCTACCTTCTATTTTTTTCATTAATTCCTAAAAATATGAATTCCCATAAAAATCCTCAGTCTAACGATCAATTACAACAAGCCTCCCGCTTTACTTCCCCGACTAGAATTTCAGTTAGACATGCCTGAAGACGAATGTGGGCCTAATGCGGTAACTATTAGGCACACGTAAATGCTGCAAGCCTAATCGTTACCGCATTAGGTCCTAATTCGGAAGGAATGACGCATGCCTAAGTTGGGCATTCCTAACAGTTACCATACGTGGCCGAGCGCACGCTTAGGTTGGGCATTCCTAACAGTTGCCATACGTGGCCCAAATGGGGGGCCATACGTGGCCGAGCGCACACCTAAGTTATGCATTCCTAACAGTTGCCATACGTGGCCCAAATGGGGATGGCTGAACGCACGCTTAGGTTGGGCATTCCTAACAATTCCATACGTGGCTGAAATGGGGATGGCCGAGCGTACGCCTAAATTGGGCATTCCTAACAGTGCCATACGTGGCCCAAATGGGGATGGCTGAGCGCACGCTTAGGTTGGGCATTCCTAACAGTTGCCATACGTGGCCGAGCGCACGCCTAAGTTATGCATTCCTAACAGTTGCCATACGTGGCCCAAATGGGGTTGGCCGAGCGCACGCTTAGGTTGGACATTCCTAACAGTTGCCATACGTGGCCCAAATGGGGATGGCCGAGCGCACGCCTAAATTAGGTGGAGTGGGGCTCTCAAACTTATACGTAGGAATATTTACAGACATCTCAGTGAGGGCTTTCAACAAGATAAAAGTTTTTACAATTTAATCCATACAGTGTCTTGATGAGGTATTCCTCGTCAGATTTCATTAATGTCTCCCAGTGAAAACCTAATAAAGCTATTCTAATAAGGGCCTTATTGGACAGTCATTGGGAAAGCCTAATGCGGCCCTAACGCGGCTTTCCCAATTAGGTGGAATATTCCGCGTTACATACCGCATGCGGGCCGAACAGGCAAATTAGGCTAGCCTAATGCAGACCTAATGTCTGCCTAACTGAAATTTCTAGTCGGGTCTTTAGTCACCAGAAACCAATCAACTCCTAAAGGCAGGAACTCTCCGTACCTCAACCAAATCCCACCAGATATTTACTCTCCTCCCTCCTCCGAAGATACCACAAGTTGAAACGAAATATTTCAGAGGAGCGTATTTCCACGTAATATCGTGCATGTTAGCCAGCGTAAGACTGGGAATCAACCTGCTCGGTACCGCGCCGGATAGACTAGCTTCTGGATAGGAAACGAATACGAAGGAATAGCTCGGAACGGTTGCACGTTCTGGAATCGGAAACGTGCCTCGAAAGTAACAGAGTGTATCGGCGTGTTATTACGCAGAAGCATCCAGTGGCACTATGAAAAAAAAGGTTCCTCTCTCCTGCAGAACTTTTTCTCTCCCCCTTGTTCGAAGGTTGTACGCGCGAAAAGTTCGCGTGGCTATCGACGATGACGTCGAGAAGATGGTCGAGCGTGTATCTCTCCCAGTTGGAGAAATCGTGTTGTCGCGGAGGAGAGAGAAAAAAGTGTCTCTGGGTCGGGACACGATGGTTCCTGGAGATTGGTCGAGCGTCGATCCGAGATCGAGGCGGTCGTTCGTCGTGCTCGAGAGCTGTTTAGAAAGCAAGCACGTCCAAGTCCTTCGTCGAATGGACGAGAATCGATAGCTGGACCCTTCCCACGAGAGAGAAACTTCTTCCCTCGACAGGACCTGTGTCCTACATAAAAACTTATCTCCCGCGGAACGCTATCGCGCTTCTGACGTTCTCTACAGCCTTTTTCTTCTAATTAAATCGACGCGACTCCGGAGGTTTCCCACGTTTTTCAACGATCCCAGGGATTCGAAGGAATTTCTGCGGCGTTTTAGAACGAAAGTTTGGGTAATATTTGGCTGTTGTTGTATATTGCAGAAGAATTTATTAGAGAAAATGACAGAATTATGGACGGATTAAGCGTGATCGAGGATAATACGAGATTTAAGCTTCGCTGGTATTACATTATTTGAATTACGCGCGCTTTCCGACTGAGTATGCGTGAATATTGATCATAGTCGCGTGTCGTAAATTATTTTACGAAAGTAATTCGTTTTAGAAAATTTTTTACTTGCAATTCTTCCATATTTTTCCTGTAGAATAAAAATAAAAAATTCTTACAAACTCCGAAGTACCTTGGTTTAATAACATGTTGAAAAGTTTTAATTAGGATAAAATAATCATTCGACGGTCTTATTTTCACAGTACTCTGATTGTCATATCGATAATTTCTTATTTTAAACGAAAATTGAAAGAGAATTGACAAGAGGCCCACGAAAGGCCTGGCTATAAAGTACGGCGTGCGAGGGATGAAGGGACAGTGTGTCATAGTATTATAGTTATTCTGATATTTTCTAAAATAAACATCCATTTATATTTCTGATCCCACACTACCAACAATAAATATTTTACTATCCATAAGTATTGAAATATTTGGACAGTTCCTCATTATCGAAGAAACACGAAATTTTGAAGTGCAGTTTTTCTCACCGTTTCCACAAGCTCGTATAATATTAACAACGTGCTATCAGGATAAAACTTAACTTCAATTAGTCTAAATAAAAAGGCAATAATTGCAAAACACTCGAGTAGAGCAGTGACTTTTTGAACGTTTCTCGTCTTCGCTCGTTCGAAATCCAATATTTTCAGCTACCCGCTGGAAATCTGTGTTACCCCCCTATAACGTGTTTCTATCTCCGAAAACACGTATGCATACTGAAAATTGGAACACGTGTACGTAAATACCATCTCGCAGGTACGTGATACGATAAACTTCGATGTTTGTTCACACGATACAATGAATATGAAGTGGTAGTAGCTGTGTAAAACGTTAAAACGTTGAACGGGGATATTGGCGACAGAAGGCTTTCTCCACCGGGCAATATTGGCGACACCGAATCGCGAGGCACGACACTGATGACTCCTGGTGCCTTGAGACTCGACACCGACCACCCTCGGGATTTACCGATAGAAACTGGTTACCTTGGAAGCGTGAAACGCGGTACCGAGTATCCTCCGGTCGAAGAAGATGACGATCCGAGAGTCGTTCGACTTGGAGTTGATAAATTCTCGGATTATATGCGCTGTTAATCGCGACGTGTTAATGACGAGTCTTGTGAGATTCTGTAGCGACGATTCGTGATCTCTGCGGAGGGTTGTAGTGAAGATTTGAAAGTTTAGGGATTTAGTGAGACGTCGTTACAATGGAGAAACTGAATTTTTCGGGAGAAAAGAAAACCATTTTGTGGAGTAATGTAAAATCAGATTTGCGCTTCTATTTTTCAGGTTTATAGATTTTGTGTATCAGAACATAAGTTGTCATAAAGACCCAAACACCTTATGTGTAATAATTTTTAATACCAGTACGCTTATTAAGGGAACATAAACAAATATATGAATAACAATTTAATTTTTAAATTATTAAATTTCATTCGAAGTTATTAAAAAAATGAGAACGCGATGGATTGAAAAAGGCCCAAAGACCGCACTAGGGTTAAATATGGGTGCGGACAGTTGATTGTAGATTGATTGTAGATTGGGTCAAAAAAGACCCAAAGACCAATGTACAGTCGAACGAAAGAAATTTATTAATATTTACGAAATATTTTGCGATGTTAATCAAGTACCTTTTAATGGTATATGCAAAAAAAAAACAGCGTACTTGTTATGTTACAGAATTTATAAAATGCTCATGGTGCACAAAATCTTTCTATTTTAATTGTTTCTACGATAAATATCACCCATTAGAGTACGACATACATATACAGGGTATC